TTTTTGTTTTATTCAAATCGATCCAGTGGTTCATTAGGTATTTCGGAAACAGACTGCAACCTTTCATGTTTAGGGTTAGAGTTAAATTAAACTAAACTTGAGTTTAAAATTCTGACAGAAAGTGAGGCCTATAATAATCAAATCCAGTGCAAACTTCTTGTTTTAGTGTTCAGACTCACTGGAAGCTCAAATTAAGTTTTCAACCCCAGCACTTCAGTCTGTAATGTTTCAGTGAGACTGTGAACTCTCAGCTCTTTTTAATTTGTGGTGTTTTGTGAATAAACTCGTGCTTCTGTGAACAGCTGCAGGGATTACTCACATTTTACATTTTGATTATTATTTTTTCTTTTTTTCTACGGCTTCAAAGAGCCTAAATAAGCCTGTCATCAGACCTGTGTTCTTCTCAAACGTTCACGTTTTAAGCCAACAACAACATGGTTAGCATGATCATCATGTGGACGCAATTACAAACGGTAAGTTAGAGGCTTTTGTCACATCTAAAGCAACTGTGACAAGTGAGGCTCGTGATTACAAAGAACCCTTTAGTTTCATAAATCATCATCATAATGAAGAGTTATCTTACAGTCATTGCCTTTTTTTTAAACATTTTGCTCTCCTGATTGGAAAAGGTACATTGACAGCTGATGTGAAACAGTTTCTGCACTGACCATGAAGCAGTTTGAAGACTCATCGCAAACCAAAAAGGTGTCTTTAAACATCACACAGACTCGTTTTGTTGCAGAGAGCAGCTGAGAAAAGACTGGTTAGTTATGTTTGTTACAGGGTCCTGTGAATATGGCTGTTGCTGATAACAGATTGAACATAATCTGCCAAAAAAATAAGGTCTTTGCAGGCGTTGTTAATCCCCTACATTCTATGGATTGAGGGAATTCCCCCTCTTTGTAAACCTTGTCCTCTTAAAAACACAGACTTAAAGCAATATCTCACTAAGGTGTAACTGTTGGAGACTGGTTGACGATTTCTAATGATGAAATCTGCAAGGTGTTAGTTGTATTCCTGTTAAGCTCTGAGTGTTTCCGACCAAATGACTCACAAGCTTTGGAGTTTCTAGCTTATTTTTTTGTGCACCAATAGCAAAATTGCAATCTTGACTATGTGCATTTCTTTGTTGCCCACCTCCACCCACTTCAGACTGGGGCTGGGCAATAAAGCAATAACAATACATATTGAGACAGACATGTGATCAATAACAACAGAAAATATGTTTGATTGAATGTTGATCATTTCACTGAATTCTGATCCAGAACCGCTGTGCATTATGGGGGATAGTCAGAGGAAAAGCTTTAGCCTCTCGACCTCTCACACCCCAGCTAAGCAAGATTTGTGGCACCAACTCCCTTGTTTTTTGGTAAGCTAGCAAAAACCTGTTGAGTAACATATGCTGTCACAGTTTCATGTTTCACGTGCTTCAGAACTGCTTAAAATGGGTAGTATGTATTTTCCATGTACATATTTCAATTCTATACCTCAGTCAAGTAACTGTTAGCTTTAAATGTTAACATGCGGCATGTATCAAAAATATTTGCCTTTACACCATAGTCTATCTAAATGCCTTGAAATTGTCCTCTGTCTCTTTAAGAACCTCCTACCATTTCTGACACTTCCACTTCAGCACATCTTCACTACAATACAACACTCTAGGTATGTTTTTGATGAGGGAATGAGATTATAACATGATATAAAGCTCAAAAACGTTGATTTTGCATAATATCCACACAACTTTGTACCCACTTTAGCAGCTGTCCCCCCATCTAAAATTTATTCTATTCTATTTTTTTTTCACCATTTATTAAACAGGCAAATCCCACTGAGATCGCAGATCTCTTTTTCAAGGGAGCTCTGGGTCTGAAGGTAGCCTATTGCACATGTTTTTGGGGTCTACTCTTTGCCGCACATCAACATTTTATGCGTTTTCAACAGATCTCCTCTGTTGTTAAATTTTCTGTTGACTGTTAGACCCCCACAGCCTGGAAAACTTTTGGTGACCTCCTGATCTGTCTTCCCCTACCACCATCAAACCAGAATTTCTATATGAGGACATAAAAGTTTAATGGGCAAACTGCCAGCAGATACACTCAGCAAATTCAAACTACCACTTCTGGGGAGAAAAAAAAGGCACAATCAGTATTATTTTTATAAACATGCTCATACAATATGTCAGTCTAAGAGCTATGTTTTTTCATTCAAAATATTGTTAGTTATTTAATAACTTAGTTATTTATGTTATATTTAGTTATTTAATAACTTAGTTATTTATGTTATATTTAGTTATTTAATAACTTAGTTATTTATGTTATATTTAGTTATTTAATAACTTAGCATTTTTGTTGCATTAGTTTAATTGTGAAGATTAGATCAAGCTGGGAAACCCATGAATATAGAATCTGGTACTGGACCAGCATGCATTTGGTCAAAATAGCAAACTATAGCTTCATAAACTGGAAGAAAAAAACATTGATAATTCATTTTTACTGTAACTTATCAGAGCTCCTACAATTGGATGCAAATCTTTAAAGAAATACTGTTGAAAAACAAATAAAAAAGATCATTAATGTAAAAAAATGATTTTTGTCAGTAAAAACATGTAGTGTCAATAATCTTCAACCAATTTATAGAATATTTGGCTAAATATCATGTATTTTTTTAAAACAAATCCCTATGAATGTGTTATAATTTGGCCACTACCTTCTATTCTAATGTTGTGTTACAAAGAGTCAGTCATTAGAGCTTAGAAAACACAAAAACAATGTTATTTCATTTATTTTTGCTAAATAAACTGTGCTAAAATGTGTTGTGGCAGCTATAGTGAATCATTCACATCATACATCTTGCCATTTAATATTGTTTTTGTCATCATTTTTCCATTACATGATAATCTTAATCTTATGAAAAAGTACTTGGGTGCAGCCAAACCTGATCCTTCACCATACTTCATACAGATCCATCATTGAGCAGATCTCAGCTTCTTCGGTGAACAAATCATTTTCTGCAACAGTTCCACATCTCCACTCATCAGCCCAAGCTGTTGTTTTAGTCGACTTGCTCTGTCTTGTTTCCACATCTGAGGTTTGGCTGTTTTGACCCCAGTTTTTCAATGCAGACCACTTGTGGCCAGACTTCTTCAGACAGATGGGTGTACCTGATGACACTTGGATTTCAAAAGGAAGCGAGCCCATCTTTCATTTCTTGGCCACCCACTGTGTCTATGGTCCTCAGCGCTGCCTGTTTTTCTTTGCGCTCCTTCGAATGACCAAGAACAGCACATTTCAAAACCTTGATCTGCTCTGAATATTTGCTGACATTTTGTGTCTTGTTGCTGAGCCCAGTCTTTCTGTGGTGTCTGACATGAAACCTGAAATCACACTCTAAAAATGAAATGTTGGATTTACTTAACCATGTTATGTGACCCCGTTCCACTTAACTGAGTTGAGTAAATTCAAAGCAACATACTCATGTTCTTTGGTTAAAAAATTGGTATATTGCTTTGAATTTACTCAACTCAGTTAAGTGGAACGGGGTCACATAACATGGTTAAGTAAATCCAACGTTTCATTTTTTACAGTGCATCTTCTACGAACTTCACCTTGGTGCTTCAAGTTCCTAGCCCAGTTTTAAGCCTCCTACAGCTGTTTCAGTTTCAGTTAATGACTATGTTTCAACCTGCACATAACAATGATGATCATTAGAACCGTCTCGGTATAATTGGTTAATTATACACCTGAGTATAATCCTACAAGGTCTCTGCTTTTGTGCAGCTGTGCCTGTAGCAGAACTGATGTTGTGTTCTGAAGGTAAAGAATGCTCAAATGTTTGATTATGTTCGGCTTAGATATCTATTTTGTTTATTGCAACTGCTGCTGAAAGCAATAATGCTTTTTTTTTTTTTTTTTACCAATGTCTGCGTGTGTTGGTTGGTCTGTAGGGTAAAAAATATAATAATCATAAACAAGTGGAGAGATTTTAATGAAACTCTCAAAATAATAATTACATGTACATTTATGACTAATTATCTTTTGTAGTCAACCCAGTCCAAGCTGATAAACATTAGCAAGCACAAAAATGGCAATAACTCAAGTTAAAATCTGACGTGGTAGTAGCTAAAAGCCGTTTACAATATCTAACATCTTGCAACATCACTTGAGATTTGGGATTAATATAAATGTCCAAAGATTTGACAAAACATACGACTCGAAGATGGCTTCAGTTTGAAACTGAGGCATGAAAGGTGGTGGATGATATGCTTTCCTCCAAGCTTTAACACAAGTCAAACTCAAGGCCTGCGGGCCAAATCTGGCCTATGTTAACATTTTATCTGACCCCAAAGGTAATACTTTAATCATTTTATTGTTTCTCTGTTTGTCAGTTTATTCTTCTGGTGACAGCTGGTTGACTTTCAAACCAAGAAAACGAAGCCTGAATTTTTCAGTAATCTTTGATTTTAGTTTGGAAAAAAGAACTGAAAACTGACTTTAACCATCGCTTTCGGTATTTTTTCAAATAATTTGATTTTTTTTTCTGATTTGCTGGATTGTGATCAAATATATTTCTAAGATGTGACAAATGAAAAAGTTGTTGATAAGGCATAGTGCTAATGATGAGTCTTTCTAAATTTATTTATCTATTTTCTTTATCTGTTAGGTTATGTATGTTAATTGCTAAAACATAATTTGGAAAAGGTTATTTGAATTTGAATAAGAACGTTTTATTATAAAATGTTATTATTTTTTATTTATTTTATTTGAGCTTAAATTTGTGAAGCAGTCTTATTATAGCATTTTATTTTAAAATGCTAAAAAATTGCACAAAAATACTAAATACATATATGTCAGTGAAAGCGACTCCAAACGTCAATCAAATTAGATTTGAAATGTGAACCACATGCCGTTTATCTGTAATTAAAGAGCTGCTTTGAAATGAAATGACATGATTCTGCTTGGCTAATCTTGTTATTTAATGTATTTTGCAGTCTACGTAATGCCCGGGCTTCAGTAGGCGGTGTGAGCTCGGCGGGCTGCATTGCTGTCGGTTTAAAAACGAAATAATTGCGATGTTTTCGGTGCATGACAGCGTTCAGTGCGCGTCCTCCGTGTAAACCTACGGCACGGTGCTTTTGCGCGTTCACGAGGGCTCGCTTTAGAAAACAAAGCTGAGCGTCTTCCATATCAGCCAGAGGCGCAGACGTGAGGAATTTCCGAATTTACTCTGGATAACTCGGACAAAATATGGATTTACAGTGGGTGTAGCATCGTTGCGGACCGAGCCTTCTCGGCTGGGGTGACGGCGGAACATCTGTGAAAGCAACGACAAAATAACATCTCTGTTTTTTTTTTTCTCGGGGTGCTTTGTCTTGTCCACCTAACGATAGCAAACCATCATTCTCTCATTTTCAATCGGCAAGAAATTCAGCTAGTGATAACTAGCTGCTCGCGGAATGTATCATCATGTTGCCACCTAAAAGGGACTGCTAGGACGGAAGACTGCGAAGGAAAAGCAGAAATCCTTTCCCAGGTCCCAACGGGTTGACACCGGGACCTGAATCTGTTAGCCAAAGCCGCGGAACCCACTGTTTTCGGCGATATGGCGGAGCAAGGCTACACCTCTTGGTGAGTTGCGCACAGGCGTTGCGCTACCGATTAGTAGCTACCTGTTAGCCTGCTGCTAACTTCGACTTCATTGTGCCTTAAATACAATGAATTGTACCCGTTTTTCTCATGCATGTATTTGTCTCACCACAGAGACGGCTTCGTTTGGATTCCTGGTCGTGTATTGAATAAAATATCACACACATACGCTAATATTTTCTCCCCCATTCTGTCAGGCTAGCTGCGGCTAATGCTAACTTTATTCAGCTGCGGTCAAATCCAAGGATGCTATTGTGAACGAACGCTGAAGAGCTAGCCCTCCTGTTGACGGGTTGAATTGCTTATTTGGTTAGTTGGAAAGTGTGTTATGTTGTCTTTTCAAATAACACCAAAAGCTGAGAGAAAATGAGAATCGGCTCAATGAATGCAAGTTTTGACGGTACGGATCAGCGTAGTTGACGTTAGCTGTGTTTTGTCGTCGACTGACTGCACACAGCAACAAAGGTTATGCTAACTAGCATCGCAGTCTTGACAGAGAAATGTCTGTTTTTGTATTGTGACTTGGCAGCTTTTTTCGCAAGTCAGTTTTTTGAATTTGTGTCGAATACATTAGTTTATTATCTTTCTTTAGATTTCTTGTCAGTGCTTGGTTAAGTGTAGATTTAGCGAAGACACTAGTTTACAAAGAAGAGCGTTGTCTCATGAATGAAAACGACAACTTTGTCAAGGCCTAGTTTATTCAGTGTAGGTAAAGTTACAGAGGATGGGTCTGTTTATTATTTGTGTCATGCATCAACAAAAGTGACAGTGTTGTAAATGAGTAGCCCAAGCCATTCTGCCCAAGAATACAAGGGGATTGTTTTGACATGTTACTAATTATTTGCACAATTTGAAATCGACTACTGAACTCAGATAAGTTTCACAAATTTTTCTGGTTGATAATTTTTCTATGAACAGAGTGGCTAAACTATTTTGTATGAATATGTAACAGAGGTGCAAGACATGAAAACATATCTGTTGTAGAAATCCTAATTTTGGTTCAGTCAAAATTCTTCTTACACAATTTAGATACTCATTTTCCAAAAATCATTACTATTGTTACCGATGACCATTTGTGAAGTGAGAAGCTAATTAATAATGAATATTCACCAAACAATTAAAAGTAACATCCATATTAATTACCTGGACTTACAATTGCTCTTCATGAAATATTTCTGTTTCAGTGATGTTGAAATGTAATTATAGTTTTTAAGATTATAAAACCACTTCCTCTTCAACATTTTACACATTGTATATTTTTTATGAAAGTGCTAACTAGAATTTAAAAGTAAAATCAAGATTGTGCTTCCTTAAATTCAGTAAGCAATAAATAGCAAGTGATTTTACTTTTTGCAGTACTTAGTTCTATTTATGATCTCCTGTTTAAGCAGTTTTCATTTTATACACTGTAAATGGGTCCTAACAGGGGCATGGGTCGGCATAAGGTTCTATGATAATTTCGAGCAAGTCACTGTTTTAAATCTGTTTGTCTGCTTTTTCTGCTCTCAGGACAGATTTTAAACCTGTTTGTGATCAGCTTAATTTTTTACATTTTTTTATTTTTGATGATATTAAGATCAAAGCTTTTAGTGTAATTATATGTACTGAGAAAAATGTAAAACGTATGTTTTAAATACCGTGTCAGCTAAAACACCACTCTACAGGCTGTTATTTATTTATAGCTGATTTATAATTCTGAACTAATTGTGCTTGTTGCGCAGAGTATTACTTCTCTGCTGCTCTCTTTATAAAATAACATTGAAGACCATCCATCCATCCATCCATCCATCCATCCATCCATCCATCCACTCTTTATTTTTGAGTCATGAATGAACAGGTTCAGAAGTCAAATCCAGATATCCTTTCCTCCATCGACACTCTCCAGCTCCTCTCAAGATGTTCCCAAATCACAGATGTACAGTGGGGAGAACAAGTATTTGATACACTGTGGTATCTTTTCTTTTCTTTTGTATATTTTCAGGTTTTCCCACTTGCAAAGCTTGTAGAAGACTGTAATTTCTATCATAGGTACTCTTCAACTGTGAGTGATGGAATCTAAAACAAAAATCCAGAAAAATACAACGTATGATTTTTAAATAATTCATTTCCATTTTATTGTGTGAAATAAGTATTTGATCATCTATCAACCAGTAAGAATTTTGGCTCTCACAGACATGTTAGTTCTTCTTTAAGAAGCCCTCCTGTTCTCCACTCATTACCTGTATTAACTGCACCTGTTTGAACTCGTTACCTGTGTAAAAGACACCTGTCCACACACTCAATCAATCAGACTCCAGCATCTCCACAATGCCCAAGATCAGAGAGCTGTGTAAGGACATCAGGGATAAAATTGTAGACCTGCACAAGGCTGGGATGGGCTACAGGACAATAGGCAAGCAGCTTGGTGAGAAGGCAACAACAGTTGGTGCAATTATTAGAAAATGGAAGAAATACAAAATAACAGAAAATCTCCCTCGGTCTGGGGCGCCATGCAAGATCTCACCTCGTGGAGCATCTTTGATCTTGAGGAAGGTGAGGAATGAGCCCAGAACTACACGGCAGGACCTGGTCAATGACCTGAATGGAGCTGGGACCACAGTCTCAAAGAAAACAATCAGTAACACTCTACGCCATCAAGGATTAAAATCCTGCAGTGCACACAAGGTGCCCTTCCTCAAGCCAATGCATGTCAAAGCCCGTCTGATGTTTGCAAATGACCATCTGAATGATCCAGAGGAGGAATGGGAGAAGGTCATGTGGTCTGATGAGACAAAAATAGAACTTTTTGGTTTAAACTCCACTCGTCATGTTTGGAGGAAGAAGAATGATGAGTACAACCCCAAGAACACCATCCCAACCGTGAAGCATGGCAGTGGAAACATCATTCTTTGGGGATGCTTTTCTGCAAAGGGGACAGGACGACTGCACCATATTGTGGGAAGGATGGATGGGGCCATGTATCGTGAGATTTTGGCCAACAACCTCCTTCCCTCAGTAAGAGAGAGCGCTGAAGATGGGTCGTGGCTGGGTCTTCCAGCATGATAACGACCCAAAACACACAGCCAGGGCAACTAAAGAGTGGCTCCGTAGGAAACATCTTAAGGTCCTGGAGTGGCCTAGCCAGTCTCCAGACCTGAATCCAATAGAAAATCTTTGGAGGGAGCTTAAAGTCCGTGTGGCCCAGCGACAGCCCCAAAACCTGAAGGCTCTGGAGGAGATCTGTATGGAGGAGTGGGCCAAAATCCCTGCTGCAGTGTGTGCAAACCTGGTCAAGAACTACAGGAAATGTCTGATCTCTGTAATTGCAAACAAAGGTTTCTGTTCCAAATATTAAGTTTCATTTTTCTGGTGTATCAAATACTTATTTCACACAATAAAATGGAAATTAATTATTTAAAAATCATACATTGTATTTTTCTGGATTTTTGTTTTAGATTCCATCACTCACAGTTGAAGAGTACATATGTTAAAAATTACAGTCATCTACAAGCTTTGCAAGTGGGAAAACCTGAAAAATCAACAGTGTATCAAATACTTGTTCTCCCCACTGTTCTCCCCACCTCCAGCAAGTTCTGGGTCTGGCAATACCCCACAGAGGAAGCCCTTTTCAGCTTCTTATAATCTGAATCTTGTTCGATCACAATCCACATCATGTCATGACTACAGGTGAAGGTTAGAATGTAGATGGAAGAGTAAACCTTTGCCTTCGGACTCATTTCTTTATTCACCATGACAGACTTTGTTACTTCAGATGAGGTTCCAATCTGTTGATCTATCTCCTGTTTTATCATTACATCATTCACAAACAAGACACCTAGAAACCTGAATTCTTCAACCCGAGGCAAAGACTCACTCCTGATCGTAATTGATAAGCTGAGTTATTAGCACTCTTAGCACATCTGCAGTATTTTATCTTTTGACATGCTCATTTTTGTAGCGTCTTGCGAACTTCTGTTTCAAAACTGGGTTACCTTTTTTAAAAAATACTGTTGTTGCTTCTCATCTTCAAGACAAGCCACAACTAGCTGTTTAGTGTGCTGGATAAAACGTGCATCTTTTATTATTTTAATGAGCATGAAAGTTTTGAGGAACTCCTTCCTTCATCTACCACACACAAGTGAATGACAGCTGAATGCATCACAGAGTGGAGAGTATATCAGTTAGTATGATATAATTTCTAATGCTGTTGATTTATTAACATGCAAAGTCCACCTGGAGGTCTGGTGAATAATCTCATAGATTTGTATTGTTCATTCATTGAGTTGTTTGTACTTAAAAGGTTGTATTTGCATTTTTATGTGAATACTGTAGCTTTTGTTGGACTTGGTTAATGTGAATAAGATTAAAGTTGGCTATTTAAAACTTTAAGAATTAATAACACATCTTAAAGATTCTGTGTGCATTTTGTATTTGCACATTTAATTCCTCCACTAACTTGAAGGTAAGCTATTTACCAGAGATGCTGCTGTGGGAAATACAAAATGGTTTTAACATTTTAAGCCCTTTTTTAAAAATGGACCAAAATAAACTTTCATAAAAAGATTGGAACAGAAAATGCTGAAAATGCAGCCTCAAAGTAGTACTGTATATCATGCTGGTTTTAGTTTTTGTACCAAGAAAACTTCAGCAAACCTTAGCTTCCCCTCTAATTATCCCTGATAAACCAATAACTAAGAGGATTCCTTTAGATCATTGTTTTTTTTCTATATCCTGTATTATAAAGCATTTAGCATCAGAGCTCTAAGCTGGATTTATTAGCTATTTAATTATTTCCTTTTTATTGCAGCATCCAATGAGGAAATGCTTTCTCATAGACTTACATTTTGTTGATATGCATCTACAGATATTGGAGATTAGTAGATTTAAACATGCGCTTTAACTGAATGCAATAATTTGGGTCTGCAACAATCATTCTGAGTTAAAATGACTAAAAACAGCATGTTGAAACTTTAAACTAATGGGAGTTTCAACACCCATTTCCA